ACATACCTACATCCAAACTCAATACCAAGAAAATAACACAGGAAATCAGAAAGCTGTAAAGATATTCAAAACAACACAAGATGTGCATTACCAAGTGACATAGAGAACAGCTTGATAAAAATTCGTTTTAACTGCTGGAACAGGTTAGAATTCTTATCAGAGTGCAATCCTTGGTTTCCACTTTCATGTCAGTCTGTTATGTGTCTGAGAAATTCTACAGGTCTGTCTCATTTGGGCAGTAGTGCATAGCACCTCTGCTCACCCCCACGATGGCACAGATGCTCCTTCCTACAAACAGCAGCAGGAAGCAGATCCACGCTGGGCTGTTAGTCCCCGTTAGCATGAGCAAAGCTCCTCTCCTTTCAGCTAGAAGTCTGGTAATTACATCAGTTTATGCACCTGCTTGTTCTGGTTATTAGAGGGGAGAAGGTATGATGCCAACTGCAGGAATTCTGAAAGGAATATAACTATTCATTTTTCTTTAAGTCACAATGAAAGCACACTTCTTGATCAGCTTAGTTCTTGGTTTTCATGCACAAAATAATAGCTTCCAAGGGATCAGCAAAGTCCTTTCTCTAAGAGTCAGTGATAAGCCCAATAGAACACTTCTAAAAGGTATGCAGGATCCATAGCAGTTCTGGATAATTTTGCTATCTTCTAAGCATTTAAGTCTCCTATTAAACTTCAAATTTTAGATAAGTAATTTGTTATTAGGAAGACACTGCCCAACAGTTCAATAGCCAAGACCAATATATGAGGTCCATGTATTTTCCAGTGGCTTTACCACTACATCCTTCTGACATTTTTTTTTTTTCTTTTGAATTGAAAAGTACCTTTCCAGTCTACATGCTTCCAGTTGTACACAAATCCAAGCAAACTAAGACCCTGGAAACTCCAAAAACTAGCATTAACATCATAGGGACCAAACACAGAACAGCTTGCAACAGCAAGTTGTCATGCTCTCCCTTACTTGCTTAGAAAGTGTCCTGAAATTACTCTGAAAGGATTGTCTTCAAGAAGATATTTCAGGGTGAACTTAAGGGTATACTTTTTAATTTAAAATTGTTTACCTTTAGTGCATCTTACAGCTTCATGCATTTAAAGATTTTTGTTTTTTCCCCTTCACACTGAGATAGCCCTCAAAAGTAGCCCTGGTGTTGAAATGATGATACGTGAGCTGCCTTTAAACAAACTAAAGAAACTGAAAAGTTGTATATTCGATATTGAAAGGTACCATCAGCACTTAATCATCTACTGAAGCTCAACCACTGAGTAACCCAGGATTGTTGTCATTGTTGCTGTTCTTCCCCCAAAACTGGCAGTATTCGTTCTTCAGCTGAAGTATCTCAAAAGCTTATTCACAAGGCACTGGGTTTATTCACCTACACTTTGCAGGAATTGAGCTGAAGCAAAACTTTTCACTTCCTTTTTTTTTTTGTTTTTTTTTTTTTTGTCCTTCTCAGTTCCACTGTCAAGATTTTTTTATTGGTTATGCAAACATTGTACTAATTCATTTATACTTTTAGACAGAAAAAGGGAGCGAATGTCTACACAAACTGGCTTTTGTGTAGAAAGAACACCACCTGCTCAAACATACTCCTGAGGTTCATTTGTCTTTTCAGCATAACACTACCAAAGAGATGAACATACATGAAGAACTACTCTGCAGATGTTCTGCTTTTAGGTGTATTTTCTAGTATCTCAGAATCAGAGTAGATCTTCAGTTCATGTAACAGCAGATTGACAAAACAAGCATGTATATATAGAGAGAACGCAGATGAAAACGTCAGCAACTATTTTGTCAGTGGATGACAAGTAAGTGGTATTTTCTGCTTGTAAGATGACCTTATTAACAGAAGAACTAGGCTGAAGATTTGCAGTTCTGCAGTATTTCAAAGCATCCCCCAGATTTACGTAGATCACCCAGACTAAGGTTTTAAGGAAGGTTTCCAATTCACTAACCAGCAGAAACTGAACTTGACTGCAAAAAAAAACACTTGATAATTTGTTTTGAGCACGTTAAAACACTCCTCCCTCCTCCCCATTTCTTTTTTTTTTTTTTTTTCTTTCAGGTGTCAATACAGAATTTACCCTCCTACTTTAACCTCCTTGAAGTTTTTACATTAAAGTTGATGTCTGGTAAACACGCAGTGACGTCTACAGTCTTTAAGGAAAGATGATCTTCTCCTTCACTCCCCACAGCTGTACATTTAGAATCATTCAACAGTGAAAGGTGTTGGTCCTTTAAAATACAGAAGGGTAGCTATCTGGAGGAAACAAAATCCAGTCTCTACAGTTAAATGGAGCTAGTAGAGAAACTGGAACCACACCCTCTACAGAAACGTGGTTATGAAGCATACTACAAATAACTGTTTTGAACACTGTCTGAAAGGGAAGAATTTTAGAAATCCAATGTTCTGAAATAAAAGGTGAATATAACAATTGTTGAATTTACACTACAGTATCAGGTGCATTTGTCAAAAGCCATGTAATTATTAAGTTTTGCTATATCTTAAAAAACAGTCTGAGATAGAAGGTATGCAGTATCATACCTGAAACGAGAGAAACTTAGGAGTTCCTCAGGAATCAGCAAGGTGCTACAGCATCCCAACGAGTAATTCTTTGATGCGATTTGTATGTGGAATTGAAGCAGTTCTATACCAACTCAAAAGTATCACAGCGCTTTTATTAAAGCTCAACACTTCATGTTCACTCGTGTCACATTTTGATCTTAAGACTACACACTGAAGCAATGCATCATATGACATAATTAATGCATCAACGTTTTTAGTACTTCCCAGAGAGGTTTAAGAACAAACCCTATCCAAACCAGAAATTTGTTTTCATATCAGTTACCAACCAAACAGACGTTACCTAAATCTTTGCAAACTTCACTGCTGTTTTTCACTGAAGCTGTGTAGTTTTACAGAAATACAGAGGCAATTGTTAACTGGGTTTGTTACTAATCTTTGCAACTGACAGAACCTCAGCATACAAACTTTTTGTTCCATCCCGGCATTCCAGTTAGCCCCCGTATCTTACATAGCTCAGCACAGTTAATTAAGTTGACTGCCCCTCATCTAATTAAATTGTAATATTAGTCTATTTTACATGACTGCTTATAGTGTTAGATTACATAGTAGCCTTGTTACAGCAATCTCTTTCTATTCCAGGTTCTTGTGAAAAGCATTACAAGAAGTTCCCCAATACATAAAGGGCTGATAGAGATGCAAGTAGAAAAAAATTAAGGGAATACTTTGAAGAAACTACTAAGCCCCAGCTAAGGCACCTGCTATTGAAGCCTTAAAAGACACAGTGCTACTGAAAAGTTTGATTTATAACACATCTGATTTACAAGCACACACACCTTTACTCTGCTACACAAAGCTGTATGCTTCTTCATGTACAGCTTCAGAAATAGAATTTACATTTGTTACAGGACCTCAGAAGTACACAGACACTACCAGCATGTGACTTTGGTCTAATCTATCACAAGGTTAATTTGGATTTATGTTTCCTTTCAACTGTTCAGTTTGGAAGCTTAACACGTCCAACACACAGAGAAAAAAAATAAATAAAATAAAGATGGCAGGAATTTGGGCTCAGCAGTTTTAACAGAACAGCTCTATTAAGACATACCTCTATATCAGTGAGCAACTTTAAGAGCTGGCACACCCCAGCGCACATGTGTGTAAGCAGATACTGCCCTACATCTTGAAGCTGGGCCAGAACACACCAATCACTTTTCCCCATGAAGCCCCTTTCATTTCGGTTACTTTACAGCTGGGGCTCGGAAGGCAGAACGCTTTATCCCGTTTTCGAGACTCGGCAGCGTCACCCCCGCTTCCCCCCGTTTCTACCCCGCAGCGGCGGGATGAAGGGAACCGGGGCAGAGCCCTGAGCCCGAAGGAAGGAGGGGTGGGGGTGGGGGGCAGATATGAGAGAGGGAAGGTTGGACTCTCTGGGCCGGGCAGCACCCCAAACCCCGCCATCCCCGAACCCAACGGGACGGCCCCACGAGGCCTCCGCGGGCTCCGAGGGAAGCGGGGGGCAGCCCTCCTTAACGCCCCCACCCCCAGGCTGGGGCACACGGAGAGTCGCGGCGCCCGGGCCTCCTTCTCCCGCCCTTCCCGGCTCCTACCGACCTGGAGACGGCCATGGCCGCCCAGCGCGGTGCCCGGCGGGAGGCGAGCGGCGGGACGACGGGCGGGGGGCCGGCGCCGCGGCGGCAGGGGGGAAGGCGTGGGGCCTAGCTGCGGGCCTCTCGTGCGCCGCGCCCGGCCTCGGCCCCGCCGGGGCTCCGCGGGCAGCGGCTGAGCGCGGCTGTGGTCGATAGCGGTCGGGGGCTCGCTCCGCCCGAAAAGGCGGCGGCGGTCCGGGCGACGGCGGCGCGCGGCCCTCGAAGCGCGGGTTAAAGCCTCAATTCCCCCATCGCCGGGGCGAAGCCCAATGCCTGGTTTTATACGAGCAGCCATCTTGTATTTATTCCCTTCCTCCATGATAGCCGCTTCCTGATTGGCAAGAGCGCCCGGCCGCAGCCAATGGAGAGAGCGCTTCCAAGAGCGGGGAGGGCGGGCGCACTCAGCACCCGGGCTGAGCAGGGCCGGCCGCGGAGCCCGCCGAGCCGGCTGGGAGCGGGGCGCCGGGCTCCGGCGGGCCGCGCCATCCGCGCGCGGGAGGAGGGAGGAGCGCGAGGGCGAGCTCCGCGGTCCCCATCCCCGAGGAGCGAAGAGGGGCACGAGAAGGCGCGGACGCACGTTTCCACCTCGGCCCGCCGAGCGCCGGCGCGTCTCTGCCAGCGAGACGGGAAAGGGCGGCGCGAGCCCGGGGAGCTCATGCCGCGGCCCCCGCTCGCTGAGGTGCGCCGTCCCTCGGCCTTCGCCCCGACGATACGGCGCCGCCCAGGAGCCCCGCGCTGACTGCAACTCCCGGCGTGCAGCGCGCCCGCCGCCGCACCTGCGCAGCACGGCCTGGCGGGGTGGGTCGCTGCCGCTGCTTCGCGGCCCGTCGGCGCTGCGGAGCGGTCGTTCTGTCGGGGCCGGAAGCGGAGCTGGGTGCGGAGAGCCGTGTCCGGTGACCGGTTTCTCGGCCGTTCTTTTCGGTCGCGGCGGTTCTCGCCGCTATCGACCCGGCGCGGCCCGGTCACGGCGGCCCTCCCGCGCTCTGCCGTGCCCCGAGGCGCTGAGGGCCCCGCGCCGGGACGGCCGCCGAACTGAGCGGGCTGTGCCGTTACCTCAGGATCCAAGGGAAGAGAAATCTGGAAATCAGACGGAGGAAGAGTTTTGGAATTAATCTGCATTAATGAGCCCAGACCGGGATGTAAATAGAGCTGGCGCACGTAACCTTTCATTTGATGAATTGAAAACAATCATAGGTTTCTTTTTTCCTATGAGTTATTCATAAACTTACATAAATGCATTGCATAGTGCCACTGGGTGAAGTCTTCATTTGCAGCCCCCTGCAGTATGCACAGCCTGATGAGCCCTCAGAGAGACGTTTCTGCTTGCCCCCAGCCTTCCTGAGGAGGGGTTTGCTTTTCTCTGTGGTAAACTCCCAATATGGAATCGTTCCTCAGTAATACGCATATCCCACTTAGACACAATTCCATCTGCATCCTCGCCCTCTTTGTATAGATCTTTAACAGAGACACACGCTACCTCTGGCACATGGGTCCTGCCTGCACCTGAGTAACCCAGGAAGGTGCCCCTCCAGAGCACTGGGGAACAGGACAGCTCTCCCTGCCTGTTCCCTCTCCTAGTCTTTGGTGGGAGATCAGTGGTGATGAGGAATGGATGCTGAAAGCAGCGAGTCCAGAAGTACCAACCACCAGCAGCATGAATCAACTGGAGGCCTCACATCACAGAACGTGACCAGAGCAAACCCCAGGCTTCATTTTCTGTGGCAGAGACAGTTTTTGTCACAGTGCTGTGCTCAGTGACCCAGATAAAGTCTGTTCCGTCTCACGGAGCTGAGGTAAGAACTACCTTTAGGTAGCTCAGTACACATCCCATAGCAGAATATAAAGAAAAGTACCTGTAGCTTTAGATGGAGGTCAGAAAACTCTTACTGAAACACTTCTACTCCCAAACTACTCACACCTCCCCCCTGACATCAAAGAACCAATAAATGCACTTCTCTGCTCCCAAAACTAAGGGGCCTCTCATGATGTGTGCGTGTGCCTGGGTCCCAATGCATGACCTGAGGTACATAACACCTCCTGCTCCCTGTGTATACATGTATCCAATGGTGGGTGCTTGCTATTCAGCCACACGATTGGGAATAGCAAGGAGGAAGTAAAGCAGAGAATAGCAAGGGTAAGGGTGGATCTGTTTTCCTTCTATGTTAGATGCTGTTGACAGTGATGCATGTAGCAAACATCCTGAATAATATTTCTGCTTTTGTTTAGCCGGGAGCCAGCAACTGTTCTTTCCTGCCATGCATGAAATGACCCTCAGGTGCTATTGCCAATATCTGTGCAATTCTAGCATCCCATTTCCAATTTCCATGTAACTCTAAGATCCTATGTCCTCTTAGGTTCCTTAAAAACATTTTGTGCACTGTTCCAACAGCACATAAGGTGGAGTACCCATCAAGAATGCTACAAAATTTGTTTTGAACAGCTCCATAGCAGTTATCTTACCTGATAAAAAGAAGTGCAGGGAAAATATTGGTGATGGATCTTACAGACTGAATACTTGCTGAAATGATGATAAACCAGAGTCCATGTGAAATAATCTGTAAGAGAAAGAATGATCTAAGCATTTTAGACTGAAACACAATTCATCCAAGTTTCACATTATATATTTTTATATTTTGATGGGGCATTTGTGAAAAGTAAACTTTTATTTAGCTGTTCACTTATATCTTCAGTAGTTCAATCTATATCCTACACTATGAAAACCAATTCTTCTTTATCCATTCTTTATGTGAATTCTTTTTGCGCATTTTATTTTTCCCCATTTTTTCTCAAGAAGTAGCTACACATTCTCTCCTGTTTCTTTTTGTGTATATTAAGATTATCTCTCCTCTGTAGATCTGCTGTGTGCCAGTATACTCTCTGAAACCTCTTCCTAAATTAGATAAAACTTATTAATTTGTAGTTGGTTGGTGTGTTTTGGTCACCATTTCTTGCATTGATCTCAATTATTTTTAGTTTGTGTGTTCCTTCTCCAGCCAACTGTGTCCACTTGTGAACTTTTGTTGCTTTCTCTGCAGGCTGACAGCAATTGAAACTGTCTTATTTACTAGCTGTGCCCACAGAGTATGGGAAAAATATGGTGCTGTGCAGACAGGAGCTGAAAGAAGCACAGTGTTGCTGGTGAAATCCCTCCAGATTAGGATCTGACAAACAATAATCTTCTATATATTCTAGACTCCTAATTTTACTTTTCCAGTTGACTTTTCTTGTCCTAAAGTTTGTCTTGCTTAGGATCACAGCAACCTTTCTGTCATGACATTTGATACCTCCTAGTCTGGTGAAAACACATAATTGCATAGAATCATAGAATCATAGGAGTTGGAAGGGACTCTTAAAGGCCATCTGGTCCAACTCTCCTGCAATGAACAGGGACATCTACAGCTCCATCAGGTGCTCCGAGCCCCCTCCAGCCTGACCTTGGCTGTGTCCAGGGATGAGGCACCCACCACCTCTCTGGACAACCCGTGCTGGTGCCTCGCCATTCTTGCTGTAAAAAACTTCTTCCTTACCTTTAATTGTATCTCCTTTCTTTTAGTTTGAAACCATTTCCCCTTGTCCTGTAACAGCAGATCCTGCTAAAGAGTCTGTGCCTTTCTTTCCTACAGCAGCCCCTTAGATACTGGAAGGCTGCTCTCAGGTCTCCTGGAGCCTTCTCCAGGCTGAACAGCCTCAGCTCTCTCAGCCTGTCCTCACAGGGGAGGCGTTCCACTCCTTGGATCATATTTGTGGCTTTCCTGTGGATGCACTCCAACAGGTCCCTCCTGTACAAATTTCATAATTGTTTGCATGTATTTCAGTAACTTTCAATTTGATTTTTATAGTCTCTCGTAAATATTGTCTGAATTGAAGTTAGTATAGGATTTGTTGCATGGCCTTCTTCAAAACCTCCTCAAAAAGTAGCAATATGCACACAGCCTTCCTTTGAAGTCTTCACCATGAGTAAAGGCTTCATATCAGAGCATTGGTCTGCATTCAGAGACTGAATACTGACCAATAGCTCCTGCAGTCCAAAAGGTGCCTCAGAGATATCCATGAAATGATATCTGAGGGACATCCTGACCAGTATTACAAATTAGGACATTGCCACACACAGCTTTTGTGAAAAATGTTCGAGGCATTCCAGTTTCTCAAAATTAAACAGCATTAAAATCAATCATTTAGTTAAAACCAAACATCCAAAAGGTTCCAAACGTCACCACATTTACATTATGAAATCCAATGAGTTAACATTCATTTACACACTTCATATCTGTGAAGTGAAAAGTCCTCATTTTAGCCTAGCTGATATCCGTGCTCCTGTTTTAAACAAGCATTTAACATTTTTTGGATAGCTTCTTGTTCCTGTTGCTCCTGTTGCATGACTCTTAGGAGATAATATAACCGTTTCATACAGTTGTTTTTCTTTTTTTCCCCAAAAGCCAAAGTTTTCCAGAAGTTTTATATTTGCATTTAAATCCTCCCTGTTTTTACCTCTGTCTAAGCAGTGTTAGCAGTAGCTATAGCATCTCCTCTGTCAAGAAAGTGACTGAACTATATGTACATTCACTAAACATGGCTTATGAACTCTGAACTATTTCAGGGTTTGTTAACAATAGTAATTCACATAGATATTTAGGAGAGCAGTGAGCTCAATTTATATAAGTGTATGTATACGCTTATAATACACACACATACATATATATAAATGATTCATATCCAGAAAGCTCCTCCCAAATATCTGTTGGTTTGTGGGATTTATTGAAAAAAGGCATCAGATAAAAATGAGAGCCATAGAGTCAAAGAGAAATGGAAATAATATGGTCAAACTCTTTCTATAGCTCTGCAGGTATACATAAGCCTGGGGAAAAACATAACATGGAATAGAAAGAACACTAGAAAGAGACTTTTTATTACATTTTTCCATTGCATAAGCTTGTGTAGTTGCAACTTTTGTTCATTTTATTAATCTAATCCCAGTAGTCAAATTTTCTCTTTTTTTTTTTCCCATTAGATAAGGCAAGAGGGACATTATCCTGTGCAGCCTGAAAACGAAAAACAAAAAGCATGTAATACCAGTGTGCACAAACTGAGTACAAACAACATAAATAGAAAAGCAGTGCTGTCATCAGGGATGTACGGATGTAGAAACACGCTGTAATGCTGACTAAACAGGAACAGAGGTTTCACACCCAGTCTAGTTCTTTCCAAAGCTGTTGCTTTATAAAGATAGAAAAGAAGGCTTATCTGTGGCCATTATTACAAGCTCTGCTACAATTACTGAGCTTATATTAGATTGAAAAATAGGTTGGGTGAATACATCTTTACTGTACTGAATGACAGAAAACAATATTTTAATTTGCAAACACTTCTTCTCAGAATGTATTTTAGGCCTATTAAAGATTTATGATATAACTATTGAAAATCAGAACTCACCACTGCTATTAAAAAGTTCAGCATGATGTAGAAACACTCCACTTGAGGAGGGATTAACAGTTATCAACATTAGCTTGTAGCCTGTTATTTTCTCCTTAAGGAGTTAATTTTGTTTTATAGGCTGTAGCTTGGTAGTACAACTTTCAAAGTGAAAAAATCTCTGTATTTACGTTAAAAGAGGTTGTTTTGAGGAACAGCATGAAAGTCATCGTTGTCTGTGTCAGCTTTTAAGTATATTTATTTTGGGGGCTCTTTCATCTTCCTTTGTGTAACATTCAGGCTTGAACACTGCTTACAAAGGAAGAAAACGACTCTTGCTTCCAAGCGTGAGTGCACTGGCTTACTTCCTGTCTTTGGTGAAGCTGCTGCTTCAAATTTCTGTGTTACTCTAATTCATAACTGTAAGTTTAATGCAGTGGGCACAATTACAGTAAATTTATGACGCATTTTGATACTGGGAGCGTGCAAGAAGTCAGCTATGCACTTGTAATATGTAAGTTGGGTTGGATTCTCAAATTCCTCAAATGATGGGATTGTTTTCAACGTGTGAAACATTTGTAGCATAGTTTCATATTTGATTGTCTGAAATTCTCATTGGATTCTGGAGGGTGTATCTTCAGGCTATTATACTACACCTAGATATTTAAAGCTTAAAGGAAAGCCTTAATTAGTTTTATCTGCCACATGATTTTGTGGAAGGATTAGAGGCCTGAATGCTGCTGTATGTGTTTGGTAGCTTACACAAGCACAGTGCTCACACTGCTGGAAGACCCAGGTAAGAAGTTAGTAGGAATTCTTTCTCTAACCTGTGTCTGCTTTTTATACCCAGTAATCTTTGGCCAGCTTTTTACATGTACATCTTTTGCTCATTTCTTCTCTCATGCTGGTACCTCTCCTCCTCCTGACATTTTCCTTTTCACTCCTGTGATCATTTTTCTCTTCTCAGTTATTTTCTGCCCTCCCTTTCCCCTCCCCGTTGCCTTTTCACCTCAAGAAAAAAGGGCAATATTGCAGTCTACAGCAAAGTTACTTCCTCACCTGCTTCTCTGGTGACTGGAGCTGAAAAGAAAGATCTGTGGGTTTGGTGCTTGCTAGCCACTGGAACAGGAAGGAACACTCCATTGACAGCTATCAATCAGCCTAGAGAGGAATCACATAGCAGTAGTTGGTAACAACACGAAAGCAATTTCTTTTTTTATTCACCTGTATGCTTCACTGCCTGATGAAAATCAGCTGCCAATTAAATATTCACTTCAGGGCAGTAACAAAAGGAATTTTTATATGAACTCAGAGTTTAATAGTTAGATATAATGAAACTCTTACAACTTCTATCTTTCTTCAGGATTTCACACTTGATGCCATAGGAAAACAACATTCTCCATAGAAGTCCTGCTCTTTATTGCTATGCCATATTACAGAGGTATTTCTAGGTTCACTGGGAAAAATCCATAAATGAGGTCAACAAGGTTCCATGATATTTTTGTAGAACTATGAAAGATATAAGAGAAGGAAACTTATTTTAGTCAGTGCCACTGAAATACAATATTCAGCTAAAAAGAACAGAAAGCATTCTATTTAATTCCATTTTCCACCATGTGGATCAATTAGTAATTGAATACTACAGAGACTAATATGCAGTAATGACTCAGCTGAGGAACGTGAGATAATTTTCAGTAACATTTTATGTGGGTTTAGCTCTGCCAAATTCTGTCAAGAACAATAGGGAGGGAAAGCCTTGTCCTAAGTTCTAAAAAAATATTTATAAAACCACCCTTGGCTATTTCCATATAGTCATCACAAAGCCATTTATGGAAACGTCATATCTATTAATTTTGCTTGAAAAGAGGAATCCAGCATAGTTATGAAAGTGGTATTTATTTTGTCAGACAGCAGAAGCTGCACTGTGTGACTGCACTTATAACACTGGACTCTGGAGTGCTTTATCCTCCTAACATGCTAACTTTCAGTGTTGGCATAGGGAACATCTTAAATCCATTGCAGTCTTTATGATTGGTCTTGAAAAGGTGCTGCAGCCATCACTGATTCCATTATATTTGTTAATGTGAACACGAGTACTCAGTATAAATCTCAATTTCCACCCACATGGGGGAATCACCATAGGCTGACAGCTCATAGTTGGGTACTGGCAACAATCTGCTGGCAACAATCATTTGCAAATGTGTGTGGCACAAACATCACCTGTTCATTATCATTAGCCTGCCTTATCAGAGCCCTGCTCAAGCTACAGCAAACTTCCATCGTGCTGTGAGTGACGAGCACAATTGTTAAGTAGTACACCAGGGATGCAAAAATGCCAGTATATCTTTACATCAATATTCAAACTACACCTACTTAGAAGATGCTCCCTGATTTCAGAGGTAAGTTGCTCAGGATCCTGCATGTCGTCTTCTACAAAACATCCCATAGTACACTCCTGCCAACTCTTCAAGAAAGTCCTCATTATTTATCTCTAGGGAAAATGACTGGAGTGAAAAATATCAAGCATCACCGTAGAATTACAGAACCTCAGGTTTTTGCAGTATTTATAACTAAATCATTTTAGAGACTAAAATACTAACTCCTTATACCAACTACAGTCTAGAGAAAAAAAGGTGAGTTTATAAACAATTTTCTTTTACTTGCTACATAAAGCAGCCAAAAAAATGTTGTAAATCCTAAATGGGATCATGCATTATTGTACTGAAGAGGAATATTATTATGGGTTACATTTTTAAGCCTCGTGCACCAATGGCTCTTAATCTGAAGAAGGCCATTCCATCAAATTATTAATATTCACAGTTTATTTTAACAGATAATCTTTACTGTCAGTGCTGTGGTTGCATTTCCAGCTGTTTTAGGCAGCCTGGGCCCTGCTGTTAGGGGCTATGGAAGCAGTGCATGTGGCATGGAGCGGGCTCCATGTAGAGCCACTTCAGATACATTTACACATATATTTTCAAGATTTAGAGGACATAGCACATCATTTTCATAGAACTGAACATCAGTTGTACTCCTGCCAAGCCACTAAGTTTTGACTGAAGGCAGCCAGTAGGAGGTCACTGGCTACTACCAACTGCTACGTGGTGAGCTGGGAGGCTTTCTGCATTGCAGCACCCCGCACACACATTTGATGCAGCTTGCAATGGGTGCTGTGTTTGGATTGCTCACAATTAGCTGCAGGGGTTACAGCACTAAGAGCCATTCTCCGTTCCTGAGGATGCCTGCTAATCACAGTACATTCCCTGGCAATGGAATATTCCATGCTAACAAACTCATGGAAGGTTTTAGTCTGTGCCACTGACACTCTCCTCTAACAATTCCTAGCATACTTCCAGAGGTAAGACGCATTTCAGGGACCAGTCCCAAACAGAAACTCTCAAACAGTCCTGCAGGAGCTGACCAAGGAGTACTAAAGGCCATCATCCATCCTAAATCCTGAGGGAGTTGCCCCATTTCTGATCGTGTGAAACTTCGCACCGACCAGCTCTTCAGCCATACAGCACCTCTGGACTGAAGTACGATTGACTGTAGGGTCATTTCAATCCTAAAGATGCACTTCAAATCAAAAAACATAAAGAGCAAATATTTGCTCTTTGCTCACTTTATGAATACTGCATACACAGTGTAAGAAGAGAACAAATGCTTGTAATAACACTTCATAAATCTTAATTCTCTCATGGAAAGCACCATGAAGATTTTTTTTTTTGGTTGGCATTATTATTTTAAGAATCTGGATACATGGTAGCCCAAGTTTCAGACCTTCCTTTCCCCTAAATAAAGAAGCACAGACAAAGACTTTCATTTTACTGTTCATTTTAAAAGAATAAATGAAGAAACGTTCCTTTTTCTTAACGTTTAGTTCCAAGATCACATTACATTCAGACACCTTCATTCCTGAGCGCATATGAATGAGGCTCACAAAGCTAGATTTAATGGGAAATACTATTGGCAAGCTGCTGTAAAAATGAGGGAATGATTTACTTCGTATAATGAACAAAGCCAAAGTTGCTCTACCAGTTGCACAGGCAATGAAATATTTGCACTTTGAATTTATATGCACAGAATCCTTTTAGAACTTTTTGCATGTGTTAAAAATCAGAAGAGTTGCCAGCCGTTCTAAACTTCCAAAATCTATTCCTTATATAGTAGTCATAGACCCTTGAATTCAGAAGTCTGTTTTATGCTGCTAGTCAAAAGGCAAAACAGGTCTATGGAGTTCTTGCCATGAACACACTCTTTCTGCAGTGTTCTAGTGTAGATTTATATGCTCTTGCTTTGCTTTACAGCTGTATTGCTTTAAAGCAGTTTCTTAACTGTAGGATTTGAGCTGCAGCTGTACATCTGCAACTGGCATCATTTTTGTTACTTTCTGTTACACTACTATCTTGAGGCCCAGGTGAAGTGGCAATTCAGAAGAGACTGTTGCAATACACCACTCTAAAAGCAACTTACCTGAAGAAGTTAGTTTTCCATTCTGATTACCTTGCTGTCCTGTAGAAGTCAGTAGAACAAAAACTGAAGAATGAGACACACTTGACTGACAAACACGGAATTGTAAGAACATAAGTAGAAGCAATCTTGGACAGCTGAGAAAGGCAGTCTGCTGATAAATGTGAGCTGCCTCGTTTGGATGTGTTACTAAGAAAACTGTGAAATTCATCTGCACTGAGCCATTCTGAAGCATTTATAATTAAGGGAATTAGGAAAAAAAACAACACAGCATAGAATATTCAGGTTGCTGAAAAACAAGTTTGACATTTGCACTGTCAAAACTCCAAGTCACCTCCAAGTTCTCAGCAGCACAAAATGGCACACCTAGGTCAGTTCTGTGATGAGACAGAAAAACTGGAATTAAACTGCAATGCTGCAGAGATTGTTAGCAATAATAACAAGCTGCTATTATTAAAAGATGAATTTGACATAAATTTATTTCATTCATTTCATAGTGCTTTTTCTATAACCTTAATGGTAGTTTATCTGACAGTGCAATATTTTGTTATGACTTTAGCATCCTACTATTACATACATTATAAATAAATGTAAAACAAAAGACAGTTATCACTCAGAAAGTTGTATAGTTTAGAGTACATGGCTTCAATTTTGCCAAGAGGAATGACTACTTTCATCCCATGTATACCAAGACCTTGTCTCCAACTACACTTAACAAATACCCTAATAAATATAGAAGTAGAAACAAATCTTACAATAGAGATCAGTTCTCTACTACTGGAGTTTGCATTTCCCTAACATGTAAAAAAAACCAAAACCAACCAAAGCCCACATACAAAGTAAAACTGATTGATGCAAGCTTAAGCTGAGGAAACAGTGCCTTTCTTTAATTCAGTTCCAGCTGTAATAGTCTCTTGGAGGTATATCATAAGGTGTTCTCTCCTCCTCTTCAGGTCCATAATCTAATGGCAGACCATAATTGTAATCAACTGTTACCACTGGTAATCTTTTGCCTTGTTCCATTTCTCTAGTAGTTTCAGCTTCAAAAGTTTTTATTTCACAGTCTAATGAACTATCTTCCTGGTGTACAGATGAGGATGGATGCATTGTACATGAAGAATATTGTGCAAATCTGCTTTTTCCTCTGCTAAATTCATCTGAAGGATGCACTCTCCTATTGTCTTCAGGACAGCTTGCTCGATTACTGTAGGAAGAATAAACATGAACAGTGAAGTCATTGAAATTAAAACTGCCTAGCCCTAAAAGAACAAGAATCAGATTTCTACTTTTGTTTTTATCCTCTCTAATTAAAATTTCTCTACTAGATGTTAGAAATATTTTTTTTTTAATTTAGTAGGTAAATGAACTAGAAAATGCTTTGTGTTTCAGCTGCTGTTTCTAATTAAAATTGCCTATTTACTGAAGGTTTCCTAGGGTCCATTTTTGTTCCTGAACACATTTTCATTGTGTGAAAAATACTTAACAGCAGCTGTCTGTTACACAGTCTCAAGCAACATTACACTATGTATTTATCTTGCAAAATATTTATGTATTCTTCTGCAACAGAAGAATCTACAAAATATCATATTTAATTTTTGTTATGGATTCTCTTTGGTACAGTACTTCGTAAAATAAATAGTGTATAAAGCTGATTGAGAACAATCTTTGTAATTTTTAATCTTTGCCCTCACTAAACCATAGATGAATATTATTGGAAGGGATGTCTAGTAATGTCTAGTCCAGTCCCCTGCTCAAACTCTTTCTTGCCATATGAGGTTGCACAGAAGTCCAGCTGAGCTCAAGGTATTTCAAAGGATGGCAATTCCACAGCTGCTCTAGGCAATGCATTTCTGTATCCTCAAAGAAACAGCCTTTTTCCATATAGGCTACAGAATTTTTGATGGTCTAATAAGAGTCTGTTGCCCCTTATCCTATCACTGCACATCATGAAAAAGAGTCTGCCTCACTCTTCTTTGTACTTTCTCATCAGCTCATTGTTAGACATCACTAAGAGTTAAACATACCATCAGCAGTTCATTTTTTTGCTTACTGAACACGGTTTTTTTTGTATTTTGAACACAGGTTTTTTTTTGCATTTTATAATAAGTGAGCTTGAACTCTCCTTGTTATTCTGATGACTTAAGTGAGGAACTCTCAGTTTCATAACTATTATAATCTATATGAAGCCTGATATAGATGGACTACAATTTAGTCACATTACTTGCTTAATGTTCAGATTCAATGGTTTAAGCAAAAAGAAATTAACAAATTTTTACACAACAGGTAATTTGTATTTTTTTAGTTGGATACTGAAAGAGTAACAGTATAAATCAGAAAACAACATAAAACCTGGTATTTACCTATAGCTTCTGTTGAAGTCATCCTTATCAGATCCATAATCTCTGAGAAGCGAAGGAGATGAGGAGAACTGAGGTTCTGATACATTTTCATGGGAAGAAAAAGGTTGATTTCTGAAGATAATCAAAATAATCATGTTAAGAGGAGTACAAACTACCGTAGGCTTTTGAAAAACATCAGTTAAAATTACTTCAAATAATTTAATAGCTATTAACATTTCTTCAAATGAAGTTTTATTACAAATATCTTAATCCTATTAGTTTAACACATCAAAATAGTACCCTCATGGTGCTGATACACTGCCTGGTTTCACCTGTACAATGAAAAAGATTAAATCAAGTTTTACTAGCCCAGCAATTACCTGAACTATGTTCTGAAAGATCAAATAAATATTTTGAAATATATTTGCAAGAAACTTAACTACTAAATCCATTTTACTAAGTGATATATGCTTTTGGAAGAATACAATGCAAAAGGAGCAACACAATGCAGTCAGAAGCAAAAGGATTTCTACAAATGATTAATTCATGAAACAAGGGAATGTCAAACTTCCTTTAACATTACTGTTATCTCAGTTTAGATGAGAATATAAATAAAAATTTATATCTTTTGTCCTGAGGAGTGCTGTTTAAATCTGACAAAGTTTCGTTTCATGCTGAATCCAGAAAAGGTGAAACACGAGCTTTAAGGAAGCACAATCTTGTAGTTTAGGTAAGGTGCCTTCAAATTTACAGCACTGAAACTTAAGTCAAATACATCCACACTTCAAAATAAAAAGTTGATTGTTAACTAACTGATCATTTGTGTGTGATTTTAAACAGATGACTGTTTCAAATAAATGTATTTAAAAGAGTTTAAAATTTAATTTAGAAGTGCTGCTAGTTCTGGTCTTACTGTTAAAGGATAATCAAAATAATCATATATGAAGAGTAATACAAACTACTGTAGGCTTTTGAAAAGTATCAACTAAGACTATTTCAAACTGCAGTGCTTTCAATTGTACCTGTCTGAACACCATTCATGTGGCAGGTCATCTTGAACAGGATGATCACGGAGGGGTCTTGACCTTTTTTGTCCTTGCCCTCTATTAACATAATCCAAGTCTTTTAACTGAGGCTGCTCCTGTAAGTCATCATAAGGCTGATGGTCGTGAAAAGGTCTGCGCCTTTGCCCAGGACCTTTATTATCATAATCTTTGAGCTGCACCTCTGTTTGTAAGTCATTGTGAGCATTGTGAGGTTGGTGATCATGGAAAGGTCTCGATCTCTGCCCACGGCCCCTGTTAACAAATTCAAAATCTTCCAGTTGCATCTGGGGCTGTGACTGATAGTCGTGGAATGGTCTCAGTCTTTGGCCAGGACCTTTTTTGACACAATCTGACTCTTCTGACTGCACTGGAGTCTGAAATTGATCACGAGATGGATGATTGTGGAACAGCCTTTGCCTCTGGCCACGGCCCCTGCTACCAAAATCAAAATCCTTTGACTTCATATCTTCCTGTGAATCATTGTGGGATGGACAGTCAGGAAAAGATCTCTGCCTTTGCCCATGGCCTTTGTTAAATTCAAAGTTCCTTGATAGTCTCTTTGTCTGTAAATCACCACGAAACTGGCATCCATAAAAAGGTCTCAGCTGTTGTCCAGGTCCCTTGTTACTGAAGTCTTTCAGCTGTGTGTCTTCTTGGTAATCATCATAAAACTGGTGATCAGGAAATGGTCTTTGCCTCTGCCCTGGTCCCCTATTGTAGTCCCAATTTCTCATCTGCATTGGTGCTCGCAAGTTATCCTGAGTCTGATGGTCATTAAATGGTCTTCGTCTTCGTCCAGGTCCCTTATTAATGAAATCAAAATCTCTCAGTTGTGTTTGTCCTTGCAAATTATTATGAGAGTTGTCATCATAAACTCTTAATCTTTTCCCAGACCTGTAAAGAATTTTTTTCTTAAATAGAACATCTGTACTTATAAGTACAAGTTATTAATGAAAGTAAGCTTTTTTTAATCCAAGAATTGATATGAAACACATTGCAAGTAAAACATGTATGTATCAAAGTTACTAAGAATCTAAACTCTGAGCAAAATTATAAAACTTTCAGACAATGTCAAATTAGAAGATATGACAAACATTCAACTATAATTCCATAGGGCAAAACCAGAGATATGAAATTAATTAAAAATAAAACGCAGACTGCTGTAGAATAACAATGACCAGTAGGCATAGTAAAACTCTAACATTTTCCCAAAAGAGCTGCTCACCAATTCCTAATAGCACACATTCCCTATCTTCCCTTTATCTTCTCATTACTTTTTCTAATTCTGTAAATATACTTTGCATGAGTAAGCTACATGAAAACAAAATCTCTTCTAACTTAGAATATTTCAGTGCTTTCAGTGTTTCAAAACACCACATCTCTAATTGTTAAAATCAGCCGATCCTCTTGTAACATTGTAGTGGATTGCTACTATAAAAACAGCTCACACACACACTAAGGAAAAACCATCTTTTGCACTGTGGGGTTTTTGGCTTTTCATTCCAGGTTTCAACTTATTACCCCTGAAAATCTTCATTAGGGAATTGTTCCACAGGTCCTTCTGCTGCATTTGGAGGGGGAACAATATCTTCATCTGAATCCCATACATCCATTCCAAGGTTACTGTAAAGAATAAAAACATCTCTCATAAGCTTCCTTTTCTCCCAAACATACAGAGAGAGGAAAAAAGAATCACAAAGATTCTTCAGTTGAGAATTACTGATTTCCTTAAAAATATTAAGTTAAACTTACAGACATTCAAGATTTTCATAGCAAATTTCAATCTTGTGAATCTAGTTGAGGAAGGGCTGTAGAGAAAGCCTAAACTTCATATATTTGCAGCAACATCAAAAATGTGAGACAAGTACCATACTTCAAAAAATTCAGCACAGAACTTTCTTAATCACACTCAGTCACACCAGCAATTAACACAGTAAAACAAGAACAAAGGGCACTAAACTGAAAGGAGCAAAGTCTGTCAGATATTATTTTAAAATCAATGCGATGCTACAAGTTGTGATTGTACAAATAATGTACTGAGATGTAAATGTTAATTATTCTTAGGTGCTCCGGGGTGTACCGGATAAAGTGTACCAGTAATATGATAAAGACAAGAGATTCCATATGCGTCAGGAATATAAATACTAAAAGCAGGAGCTTTGGGAACAATCTTCCACCTTACTTTCTCCACTACAACTGGTTTTTGTTTGTTTGTTTGTTTTTTGTTTTTGGGTTTTTTTTTGTTTGTTTGGTTTTGTTTGTTTGTTGTTTTTTGTTTGTTTTTTTTAGTTTGTTTGTTTTTAAATAATCTAGTTCCACCACACCATCACCAACAGGCAGAGCACAGAGCTTATAATGAAATCTTAGCAGTAGCTCTTCTCAATTTATAAGAGAGCACAGACTCAATATAGTTGGGATAGTATGATACAAGTGCACCAATGCCCAGTCGTATTCATCAAAGCCATATAAATTCAAAATATAAACAAAGGTACTTTATGTTGTTCACATCAGAAGTCTTGCAGAATTTATGAAGCTGTTTACAAATTGTTTAAGAGGGACAATTTTGGCTTACAAATGTAACTGAACTTTTAAAAATACGTCCTGGAAAAATCTTAAGTGCACAACTAAAAGCTTTTGCTTACCTTCTCATTGGTTGTGTTCTGAGATCTGTGAGGTATACAAGACCATCCATGCAATGACCCCTAGCATCACCAAAAGCTAAAGAAAAAGAAGAACATGTCCAATGACATGTGCATAAACTGGGTCACAAGAAGATGAAATAGCAGCTTTCTATTCACCATGAAATACTAAAAAAAAAAAAATCGCATTAATACAAATGCCACAGCAAGCTGTAATTGTTGAAGCGATTTTATTCTTTTAAAACTGAAACTAGTAGTGGTAGCAACCTATCACTGAAAAATTCTTCAAAGCAAAAGCCAAAGAAAAAAGAATTAAAGAGCTGAAACTTCCTGTCATTCAGTTTGCTAACGCTCAAACCTCATTTGAAAGAAAATCAGCAGAAAATCTTCTCTGGAGACTACCACAGGAGGTAACAACATGCAACAGCAGAACAGCACACTACAGCAGAACTGTAGCATTTGTGAATACAATTATAGTTAAATGTGAATTACAACCCAACATTTGTCTGAGTTCAAAGCTTGTAACATACCTTGGATTGCTGCCTCTGGATCCCAGCCTTCAACGTCTATAAGATATCTAAAGAAAAACTTGATTACTCTGCTGTCCCAAAGGGATTATAGACTAATATAAAGTCACTATGTCTTTTGTAAATACTGATACTTTTTTTTCAACCCTTACCTACATATAAGGTAGCCAGTTCTATTAATTCCATTAGTACAGTGGACACCAATGAGTTTTTCTATCAAAAAAGATAAACACAGGCTTTAGTAGTTCAGAAAATGAAATTACTTGAAATTAGCTTAAGACAAAAAAAAAAAGTGCTGAACTTTTTACTAAGTCGTTGTTGTTTACAGAATGATACTGTCATGCTTGTCAAATAACATATCATCCAGACTTTGTCTTCTTCATGCCAGATCTCTAGCAGCAGTTTACTCATTATTTCCAGACCTGTGAAGACTGCGATTAACTCTAAAGAACATATGAAAAAGGAATGATATCAGAGAAAGCTGCCAGCCTCCAGTCAGAACTGCAGTAATAGAAAAGAGTAAAATACGGTTTTGAAAGCAACCTTGGCCAACTAGCAAATGTAACACTAAATAAGTTAACGTTCAAATTCTTTTAAAACTTACAAAAAGAGGAAAAAAAACACATAACATCCTTAGTATCCAGGAGTATGAAATACATTACAAGAAGAATTAATTTAACTGGACTGAAAATTCAGGTGATTACTGGGACAAATCATAGAGATGAAGTATTCAGGTTCACAGACACAGACAAGCACTCTGATGGGAATCAGTTATGTCAAAAGAAAACATATTTTCTGAAAAGATTATACTAATCAGCTGTAGGCTAAAAGAATGAGTTACTACTATTAGGCTGTTTCAACTGAGGTATTTCCAATAAGGGAAACAGCAATGTGGTCATGCAAGGCACTGATAAAAACCTTATCCAGACTATTTCACACACCAATACACAACAGAAAAAAACCCAACAAATTAAAATACGTATTTAAAGGTCCACTGTGCTTGTCACAAAAAAGGGCCTATTTAGTGAGAATAAATAATACGTAAGAGCAAAATTTGGTATAAGAATATTAACTGGTTAAGAGTTTAAATCTAGATTTAGAAGACAAACTTCAAACGTCAGAAGCACAAAGTTCAGGCAGGGACAAAGTACTGACAGAAGGTCTCTAAAATGGACTTTGATAAATTTCTTAATGAGATCCACTATCACTGCCATAGGACAGTCATGCTATCATGTAAGTTTATTCTAGGTTGGTGTCCCAAACAGTAAAAGAACAAACTTTAAAAATTGTTTGTAAGTAGAATCATGATTAGTTACCATGGAAATCTGAAACTGAGGGCATGTTACAATGCATAAGTTAACATAAAAACTGAAAGCTCACACACCTCTGAATTTACATAATTACATGATTTTGCTAGTGCAAAAAACACAAAAGCCAGCAGCAGATCCACACTGTGGAAATACTGACACCGCATCTGCAAAATGATTTTTAAAAACTGCTAGGACACGATGGCAACAATTCAGAAAATTGCTGCGTGTGACTAAATGGGCTTCATTAGATTGCATATGAGTGCCCAGTGCCATCAGAGAAACCCTGTACTATTTTCAGCATCCACAGAGAAGCAGCAGCTGTGACACTGAGCTTATGGGGAAAAATCTGAGCCAGATTCTATTGAGTATTCCCTTTGTCAGCTGGATGGAGGTAACCGATTTAAACCCTGTGAAAAAGATGGAGTTCAGATGGGGGCATTCAACATGCACTGGATAGAGACTTCCCCAGCACAATTAGAGAAGTATAATAAAGAAGCCTAACTACACTGGGATCAAGGAGTACAAAAATATTTGCAATTATAGTAAAAAAAAAAAATAAATAAAAAAATAAAAAATCTATTGCTCAGCAGTGGTCTGTAAACTACCAGAAATTCATAAGCAAGTTTTTCTCACTTGGAGTTGCTTTGCCACATGATAGATACAGGTATAATACTATTAAGAAGTGAATTGTTACTTTTGAGAAAGGTATGTTACAAATACAAGACATAAGGTATATTACGTTTACTACCACATAATAGTAAATTGGAAAATGCTGTGGAGTCTTTCAGACATCTGGAGTCCCAGATGCCATAAGGGATCTATTGTAATTAATAAATGATGCAGCTAGCACCAAAGTATTATTATTTTTTAGCCTTTTACAGCATAAGATGCTGATATTTACCATTTCTTGCATTTTCCCATAGGAATTTTCGGACCCATTTCTTGAATTGTAGAATAGTAGCATTATCAGGAACTTCAAGTCCAACAGTATAAAGTTTCTTATACTGCACACTTCTAGGTAAATCCTAGAAACATGAAGAAAAACATGGTAAAAATTACTGAAATCTTGCATTAATGAAAACCCTAAGCAGTATCTAAAATATCAGCAATGCAAAACAGTAGTTTCAGTGCTGCATAGAAACTGAAAACAATCATGACATGACTTCACAAAGAGACATTCTCAGAAACCAATATTTACATTTCTGTTGCACAAAAACTCTTCTATCAGATAAGGTCTTTACATCTACTTATCCCTAAAAATAAGATGGTACATGAATTAATTAAAAAGAGCAGATTGTTTTAATTCCATTCCAACACATTTAACAATTATTAGGAATGTCTACCCTGCTGAATCTACCTGCAGTCATATTCACACATCTGTCCCCTTAGTGTACCAAGCCAATGCACATTTGAAGATCAACATTCAGTTATAACATGGCTACTTATTCTCCATTTCAATAGAAGGCAATTAAAATTCTACGAGCTGGTCAACTAGTAACAAATCAATCATGAAGGAAGCAATTTCAAGACGTATCCTTTTTTTCAGTGGATTCCACTGGAGATGCCTCCAATCTCTTTTCTACAGTGCCTAGCACTGAAGTCTTCATCCATTACTCTGAGCTGCCATAGCACAAATGAGTCACCGATGTAACTAGCAGGTAGGAGGAGCTTCTTCCTGTCACAAAGCATTCTGTTTCTATTAGAGACACGAAGTAAGTCTAGATGGCTCAACTCATCTATTCCAACTCAAGGCGAGTAAATGCAAAAATACTTTAAAACAATGATGGCAGTAACTATTACAAAATTTGCTATGACTCTTACAAGTACCTTAACTTCATAGTATCGTGTGGTGTATGTTAAATCGATAATTAATCCGAGCTCCACATTTAGGGCTTTCATTGCAGCAATTAAGTCTTTTGGTGTAAATTTCTGGGTTGGGGTAAGCCTCTGGTTAATTGCCTACAATAACAATGGAAAAGGATCATTTGCTTTTTGAGTTCTAATAAGACATTTGCTATATTCAGTTTATTTAAATAGGAAAAGGGCAGTTTTCAAAATGGAATGTTTGTAGTATCAAGAGCATATCTACGTTTTATACAGATAAAAAAAAAAAACAAAATAAAAATTTGTTTCTGTTCCAATGAATAGGCAAGAAAACATGGAGGAACTTACACTTAAACAACACTAACAAAAAAGCACTAATTTAATGGACAAAAACCTTGCAAAACGCAGCATATAATAATTTTATATACATACTGATTAAGTAACTAACTAAACAAGGAAGCTCAAAACACTGCAATCCCTCCTCCAGAACTTCTTTTGTCCTGCACAATAGCACAATATTAACAGCATATTTCACATAAAACATCAGAAGTTGTGATGCCAGAGTTCACTTACTCTCAAGGCTTTAACCCTCTCCCCACAAATGTTACGCAGGCATTTTTATCCCTGGTTCAACTCTTGTCAGAAAGTACTTGCGTGTCATCTAGCACTGGGAAATGTTAAATAAGTCTAAAAATACAGTGGCATGTTGGTGGATAATGATAATCATTAATTAATTAATTGTATTAATTAATTTCATTTGACAGACACAGCGTGAAAATTGTTTACTCACCCTATTGTAGCCTGTGGTTTCTGACATGTGTTCTCCGCTCTAGGTATGAAAATGCCTCGTGCACAAATCTGGATTTTCTCTGAATAGTGAGCTGTCCACTGTGAGAGCCTTTTGGCTCTGTCACCACCAATAAAGAGTGGCAGAACAGATGCAGCAGCCTCAAGCACCTCTCAGTTCCTTTGTTAATAAGAAATTCAAGTAGACTGGACTCAGAACTAATGGAAAGGAAGGCAGCCACAGACCACACACCTCTCAGAACCACAGATGCTATAGGGTAACTATTCTATCTTTTGACTGTACAGATTCTTATCTAAGATGCTAGCACTTTGAGTTGAGTCTGGAAACAGAGAGAGGAATTCTAATTTAAGAATGAACAGCAGAAAACTCCTATCTATCAAAGCTGGTATATGATAAGAAAGCTTGCACTGAAACAGCAGGGCTGAAAGTGCATAGAAGTATTCATTCCTGAGTATTTCAAATGTTGGTGTACTGCTGAAAAACTGTGGAGATCGTCTAAGTGCAAAACTAACAAAGACTAGTCACAATCATCTCTCAACCACTCAGAACTATTTTTTAATAAAATCTGAAACTGAATTCACGAACTTTGAGGTGAAAACTACTAACCTGCAAAAGTCTGTGGCAGAACTTGTAAAAAGTTTTCTTTTTTTTGCTATGTGAATTCGCACTTAAAATCAAGTGAAAATACATCCTAAAAAGTAAGACATCTATAAACATTTTGCTTCATCGTGTGACCAGTTAACTGTGTTATGAAAAGCTATTTGAGATGCTATTCAAGATTTTCTGAAGTACTCGACAAATCCTGCTGAGTTTACCTGCCCTTTTTATGATCTCTGGTGGAGCTCCTTCCAGGCTATCAGAGAACTGCAGGGGAAAGGTAAACTAACAACCAAGTACCTTCCTCTGAAATCTAGAGTGACGGTTTAATGCTATAATGGGATGATAACAGCAGGGTGGCAAAGTCTTGGGCTACAGCAAATGGCAACAAGCTCAAATGCAGCATACTCAGATGCAGAAATGAAGGAAAAAGGCTATTTACCTTTGGAAGGCCTCAAGCAGGCAGGGATCTCTGGCAAGAGATGACTTCATCTCCACTGCCAACCCTTAAGTGAGGTCTGGCAAGGGATGGATCCTGGCTCCACCCCTTCCAGTCACTTAGGTACACTGCAAGCACCTGAGCTCCTCTGGGTTGGCCCTGCCTTCCCACCAGGTGCTCAATCACTGCTTCAGGCTGTGACTCTGCATTTCCACTACAAATGGAAAACTAGAAACATATGGAGTACAGAAATCCTGTCCAGAGCAGTGTGTTTGTGAAAAAAATGGTGCTGGATCAAGTGGAATTACAGGAGCTGATAATGCAAAAAATCTCTCTCCCACCCCAACAGTAGAGAAGCTAATTACAGATCTACTGAATCTGACTTCTACTGATAAGTAGATCTACCCTCTGGCAGTCTTGGTAGAAAGGCACATGGCTACTATATCGTTCTTTACAATTATGCAGAGCAAGTATGACCAACTAAGACCTTTGGTGTCAAAGCAACCAAACCATCATACTGAAGCTGGGAAAGCAGCTAAGGAAGTAAATCCTGCAAGCACTCCACTTCAGTCTAACACAAGTGAAGTGAATGGTGACTGAAAATGTAATGGGCTCTAATATGCCAGAAGAAAAAAAAAAAAAAATTAAGTGCAATCAGTAGACAACAGTTAAGACTTCCTTACTTTTAACTGCTATGGTTATGTCTAGCCATTGAATATTAAAAGAGCTTAGAAACTTTTCTTTCCTGTGTATCTGAAGTAAGAACTTGTATGAATTAATTTATACAGCATTTGTGTTGACTTATACAGAAAGGCAAATTTGCAATCATGTACCTCAACCCATCAAAGAACTGAAGTCTCCACATTTTGTTCTGTCACAAAAAAATTTAGAGATCTAGCTTAGTGTATTTAATGGATTAAGGCTCTATTCCATGTTATTAAGTATCTAATGGAGTTACTAACACAAAAATAGAACAAATCTATGAATACTGTGTTTCTCCATATCACTGAAGCTTACCAGCAATCTAAATCTCTAATTTTGAAAGTACTGCAATGGTAAGTGTATTTTAATAAGTGCTTCATCTTTGAAACATGGTATTTTGGTTTATACTGCCTAGACTGTTATTCATACCACAACCCCCTCCCATGGCAATAATCAGACTTTTCTTCTAACAGTCATGAAAGGATGTTAAATAAGATGTTGAATTTAGGCCACTAAATTAGTGATTAAATGACTTTACTGACTGGTCAGAGATTGTCTGATTTACAGAAAATAAAAAGACTAACACTAAATACATCAGAAGAGTGAAAAAAATACAGATAATTATGTAAATAAAGCCACTGGTAGACGACTGGATTATTTAAACAAAATATTTGCCCATAATTTTTTTTTTGAAGTTTGTGTGAATATTAATGCTATTTTTCATTACTTTTGTACTGTATTTAGTAAAGACAACGTGTAGTTACTGTTTATACATACCCCTTTTAAAGGTACTTTGAACGCAATGAATCTAGTTCCTGGTATAGGCTGCCCAACCGGTGTCAAACTCCTCCATCTGTAACGAAATAAATATTTATTTTAAAATATTTTTAAATAACAGATGTCAACAAAAGACACACATGGCTCTAAGTAAAACTTCTAAAATAACGTATGTCCTCTTTGGATTAAAACTTCTGTAAAACAAAGCACATAAAAAGCCCTTTTCTTTAAAACCGTAATAGCAGTTACTTCAAACCATATGAAATATCTTACAAATATCAAGCAACTCTGCTGTCACATTTAGCAGTAGATTTAATGTAATAGTTATTTAAAACTTCAAGCATAAAGACACAACAGTTACCTTTTCCTGCCTACAATGGGCACCTACTAGCATAAAGCTTTAAGATTTCCAAAAAGCACAATCAATAGTTCCTAAATTTCTTGGTCACATAAGCAAGCAGTTGCAATAGATACGCACAAAAGTTTGAAAAAGATGTCCAATTAGATCCTTGTATGTATGTAAAATCAGCTTTCTAAAAATTTCTAAAAATCATCTTCCATTAGTATCCTGACTGTTTCACCAACACTATTTTAAAAGTCATAAAAATTCATTTTGTTATGATACTACATATTTGAACACAATTAATAGCTTAGCATTCTTCTGGGATAAATGAAACAGGGAACTAGGAGGGAAACAGGGAACTAGGAGAACATGAACAGTGTTACCACAGGACTGATGGAGAAGGAAGCTTATTTAGCACACTACACAACTTACATAAACACACTCCTATTGTTTGCAGGCCTAAAATCAGGAGTCATAATAAAATGAATATTTATTCTCCATAAAGCACTATGATAAAATATTTTTTACAGATCATGTGCATGACTGCTGTATCATACATTATAATTATGCCCCCAAATCTGCAGCTGTTACAAAGTCGTTTCGCCGTATTGACAGTATGTTCCAAAACAGTCTTTCTCCTTCCTTTCTTTTTCAGCTTCCAGAAAACTCTGTTCCCTCACCAACAAATGGAGCACCAACATAGAGTAAAGTAGAACAAAGTACAACAGGTAAAAAAAAAACCCAGTTCTTACATTATGGTCACCAGAAAGTTTTCAATGGCTGAATCAATTTTTAACTTGGCTGAATCAAACATGCTTAGATACAGTGTTACAGCCTCACTTAAATTATTTAGACGACAACAAAATGTTAAGTTTATTTTCATTTAGAAGTATAAAACTTTTAGATTTTGCAAATACATTCACTTTGTAGTATTCGTCTTTTTCAGGGCAATATTTTTCACTGCTCTTTCTCTTGGTACTCTCAAAACCAAAGAATATTTGACAGTAGAAAAATTAAGCAAAAATCACTTTCGTAACATGAAGACTTATGTTAACAATCAAAGTCTTAGTAATTCCAAATCCACAAAGAAATGGCATTCACTGATTTTACACAGTGCTGAAGAAAGTTTTCGTGTAGCACATTTCAGAGATGCCAGTGTAGGAATACATTCATGACTAGAGGACACGTTCTATGCAACATGCCTCCTAGTTTAAGATAGATAAATTCAATAGGAATTAAGATCGCAAGCAGTATAAGCATACAGAAAATACCCAACCTAACAAAACCCACAACATAAGTGTCCAGACTGCAAGATGTGGTCAGTTAAAAAAATTAATTGTACCAAAAAGAAGTTTAATCAACCCTGTGCATAGTTTAATTTTACCTTGTTCACATCATAAACCACTGTGATTCTATGATCACCTTAAAAAGAAGCTAAATGCTGTGAACCATTATTAGATGTACATTTGATCTGACCTACTGTTAAAATAATGAGAAAATCAAGGCTTAACACCAACTCCAGCCTCTGGCTATTTTTAATAACTCAGGAAATTAAAAATTTTTGCTCTCAAACTTACAGGCAGAATCAGAAAATGGGCTGCTTCTGGGAATAGAGAAACTAGTACGAATACCAATAAAACACACAACATGCTTTACAACAGTGGGATTCATTCATCAGGCAGCCAAAGGCCATAATTGCACATGCATTTAGAAACATTTTGAAGGAAGGCAGAAGTAAAGTATCCCAACCACAGAAGACCAACCAGCTCATGCAGGTGCTGAGCTGGATGCCATAGGTTAGAAACTCAAGTTGCCTTTAACCAGCTTTATCTTGGAAAACTGTATAAGTGGAAATCTACCATAATCAGTGTAAATTCCAAGTAACTAGAGATCAGCAAGAAATGCTAAAAAAAAAAAAAAAAAAATCTTAAAAATCCTATTTACAAGACTCAACACCATCATCATTCCTGTAGCAATGATTAAAAGATTTGAGTGAAAAACACTGAACGGGACATAAAGTAGCTGAGAAGATAGTAGGAAGTTTCCACAAAGAGCCAGTGGTATCTGCCTGAGACACAGACAATGTGTGCTGCTAGGCATTAGAAACATTCAGGTATTTACACTACAGTGGAGACGGCTCTGGCCATAGAACAGTCACATTAGAAAGACATTGTGATATGAGTCTAAAATGGAATTGTAAATTCAGTACATCATTGCAGCTTAATAATCCAAACAATAATCAAATAAAGACAGACAGACCAGGAGGAAAATTAGAACTTCTGCATGAAACACAACAGCTGTCAAAACACAGGCAGGAAGTCATCATACTGTAAGGCAAACTGTTACCTGACAATATGTGCTATTTCTGGACTTTTCATAAAATGAGTAGCCAGGTCAAAACACCCTTCAGAACCTCATGTGTGTAAAAGAACTGCAAATCAAATTCTAAGTTTGCATCAAAACAGCTGACAGGTTTTTTTTTAATCAACCCAACATGGTGATTTTTTTCTGGTCTCTATACAAAACCACAACCCCAAATTTATTTGTTTGAATAGAAAAGTACTGAAGAGAGAGCAGCACTCAAATACAAAGTGACATATTGCACACACACAACATGTTTTTAATTATGGCTTTATTTCTACAAGTTTTCAAATAAGCAAACAATCCATGGAATACATGCAGAGTAAGATCTGAAATGTAACGAAACAAAAATTAATGAATTGCTTAATTCTTTTCCTTTCCCACTTCTCTATCATTTTTTGTCTTCATTGCTTCCCAACCATCATCAACAGTCTCAGAACACAGGCAGAATTTTACCAGCCATTCCAAATAAGAGAATCACATCTCAGTTTAAAAGTGTTAAACTCCAATTAAACATAATTCCCCCTTCCCTCTGAAATCTCTGTGACTCCTTCATGACTTCCAGTTAAATAAGTATAATTATTATTGCTACTACAGACTGTAGTTAGCTCAACTATAAGTGGCTTTATATCTGGTTTACATTAAGATATGTTATTACACTTATCCATTTCTGTTTAAATGGAAAGCATTGTTTTATGGCCTTATTTTTTGTCTAAAAATCTTAGATGTGCAGTAACAGATTGATTTGCTTTCTTAAAACAAACTTCATGCATCTTGTTAAAAGTATGTTCACAACGCGTAGGTAGAAATCACTCAATTTTGTCTTTTTAATGAAAATACTCCACTCCTTGGATTATTACTTTTTCTAGACTCTAGGGGAAACATAAAATAAGGTTATATTTTGGCAGATGCTATTCAAAGCAGAATCTGAATTGATGAAATTATACCCACAGTAGGACTTGGGATGCTGATGCACCACCTGTGTAACCCTGTAAACCATCACAGCACTTTATGAAAGCTCACTAGATAGCTTGAACACATTCTACTGGCTGACTCCCAGTAAAACACTGTAACATACAACTACCAAACAACAGTACCATTTCAGACCCTGGGGGAAAGTGCAGCAGAGCAGGACACTTGAGTCCCTCTCTTATATTAAATCTCATTTTGTTACGAAATCACCTCTACAGCACTATTTTATAGGCTTTGAGGCTGCAATGGATACTGCACATCTTAGTTTTGCTCCAAGACTTTACTGGGAAAAGGGAGAAATGACTTTTGCTATGAAGGAATATGGAAAATTGTACTTCCAGGCTACTTTCTCTCCTCTTTGCTGGAGCAAAGGCTGTGCAAAAAGTGCAACATCAAGCATTCAAGGCTAGGGGAAAGCAACAAGTATGCAAGAACAAGAACTGAGACATGTACTGCAGACCCAGTGGCAACATCAGCTATTAATACTTCTTCAGGTGCTGGCACACTCACAGTTCTGATTCCAGCAAGGTTGCACAGTGCTGTAATACAACCCTTACATACAGTCAACTTTAGTTATGCTGCAGACATAGTATTGTAAAGTGACAGTAATTAGCTGACCAATTTTTAAAAATACACTATTTTTTTTAGTTGTACCATCTCTAGCTAAAGCCTAACTGAGCCTTAAAATTTATCATACTGCTTTAATTGGCAGAAAGGAAAGTGGATTAAAACAGTTAAGAACTGCATAAAAAATGGAGGCAGTAACAAAGACTACCTAAAAAAACGCTGGCTGTCAATTTATCTACTACCAGGCTTCTCCTGCACTATCGTTACCAAACAAAAGAATTTAGTGTTAGTGATACAATAGAGATTTTATTTCCATAGTTAAATACTGTCTGAACTGGTCTTCGTGTTGCAGTGTACCTCAATCTTACTTCTTCCAAAAGCTGGGAACACTTTGGTATCATGAGCTTTGTCAGATGATAACACTATCTTTAAAAGCAATTCCTCTACAGCAGATGTTCTCCTCTCTGTGAAAGATACACAGGTGTTAGTTTCTAATCAGAGAGGCCAGAAGCACAGGCCACTGTTTCTTCCATATTTGCAGAAGAAACGCACGTAACCTAAAAGCACCTCAAGCTCAAATGCCATGGGAAAAGAAGGGAAAAATGAGTAACTGACACGTTCACAACATTTTAGTAATAATTTTTAAGTATGAAAAAAACAAGCAGGAGTTATTCTTACAGGCTCCCTTTATTATTGCTTGCAAGCCTAACCCACTTTCAGGATAACTTTTTGTGTTAAAGTTCTAACTGAATTTTAACAGAAACTTTCAAACAAATAAATGCATGCATAGAATTTTCTAAAATTTTATTCTATTTTTAATCTCTGAGTATGTCTGCTATTGAAATAATCAGTTTCTAGAAGCTAATTCTAAAAGTCTGCTTATTGTTTGTTTCTATTCACTGCTTTAGACCAGCATGTTTTGCAAGAAAACACTTTTTGTATGTCATTGTTCCTCCTAAGAATGTTCTCAATAAGGTTTCTCTAGATAATGTCCACCTTTCCCAAAATATCATATTAATTCCAAGTTACTGTCCTGTTACAACATGCTCGTATGTCTCACCACACCCTCCTACCACAAAATTTGTTCAAACATCAGCAGTAATACATAGCTTAAGCTTTTAAAGTTGGACTTCCTTCAATTTTCTTTTCTTTTTTTTAAGAGCTCAATAGTGGGACCACATTTGTTTTAAATGAGAGTATTCAGTAGTGCCTATATGCACTCCCACTAAAGCCATCAGAAAGTAGAATAATACATTATTTTGTGGTGGTTTTTTTTTTTTTATTTTATTTTCACTGATAGAACATTTTTTGTCATCCTATCGTACAAACAAAAACCAAAAGACAGAGGATAACGTGTTTCTGGACCTGTGTGTTCTTTGATCGTGTGCACGCAACCAGCTGCTCTCATCTTATCTACTCTTCCCTTACTCTGAGCAGTCAGGATGGGCTACTCTCCCATTTACCCAGGTAAGTATGCATCTGGGGATGAGTAAGTTAGGAAGAAGGGACTGCATTTGTCTGATGAAGGACAATGTTCAGACGGGCTGGAGCGTCATACTCACCTGGGGGATGACAAGCTGTGTTGTTCCTGTCTTGGAGAAGATACCTAGCTTACCTGGCAGTACATGGCAAAGAAGCACCTGGGGCAGTGAGTGCCCCTTCTCTATGGGCAGGGCTGTGCCCGCTCCTGCCTCTCGCTTAGTGTGAGGGATACTTACCCCTCGGGGATAGTGTTCTTCTTTACCATGCTGAAAGCAGGAGCAGGCAGAGCAGGAGACAGCGGTGAAAGTGCGCACTGCAGCAAAGGAGAGAGAACCGCGCAGTTAACACGGTGCCTATCTCTTTCTCCATCAATGGGCATTTTCACAGGGCTGACTCAAGATAAAGTAAATGAAGCAGTCAGCCGCGGCTGGAAGCCATCCTGAAAAAGTTCTGCTGCTTGCAAACTACTCTATGTTCTCCACCACAACTGTACAAGAGAGAAAGACAACAACTCACCTCCCCTCTCCAGGAGACCAAAAGAACCAGAGAGGAGAGGCGGCGGGTTTCTAACTCTCGCAGCAGCGCTGCAAGGGTGATGATGTTCCAGGCAGACCCAGAGCAGTCCGCTCAGCCCTCGCGCTCCCACAGCCAGAACTCGTCTCGACTGGAAGCTCCGAGCATCTGCAAGAGGCGAGGCCGGCCCTCAGCGAGCTGGACGACCACCTGCCCCGCGCGAACCTCGGCGGGGCCGACCCCGCGGCGGCCCCAGCACCAGCAGCGGCCGCCGAGCCCAGCGAGCTGCGGAGCTCCCCCTGCGGCACAGGGCCCATGGCCGCCGCTCCACAGAGGACGCCTGAGGCTGGGCCGGCTCGGGGCACTCGGCGGGAAGCCGCCAAGCTGAGAGGAGGGATTAAAAAAAGACACGGGGGCAAAGGGGAGGTCGCGGCCCGACGGCTGGGGGCCGGGCTGTCGACGAGGGGCCGGGCCGTGAGAAGCAGGGCGAGGGCTGCAGCAGGATGCGGTAACGAGGGAAGGCCCGGGCGCCGGGGCGGGGAGGAGCGGGGCTGCGGGCGGCCCGTACCCTGACAGGATTTCCCTTGCAGAGGAAGGCTGGAGCGAGACGGGCGGCACAGAACGTTCCCGAAAGGGTCTCGACTGCGCATGCGCGGCGGCAGGCCAGCTTGCCGGGAGGGGGCATTGCGCCTGCTCCTCGCGGTCGGGCCGGCGGGTGCCCAGCGCGCGTGCGCAGCGGCCGCGACCCGTAGGCTCTAGCGAGTACCCGCTCAGTGTGCGTGACCGGCCGGCCAATGGGACGCGGCCGTGCGTCTGCACATGCGCCGGGAGCCTGTGGGCACGGGGGGGAGTGTGGGAGGCGTGTGCGGTGTGGAAATAGCAGGGATACGGGTTGCGTTTACTGCTGAGCGGGCGGAATGAGACGGGTGCGCTTCCCGTAGCGAAACGTTTTGTGGTCGTGGGGAGCGGAGCTCGAAGGGAGCCCCTGAGGGAGAGCCGGGTCAGGGGGGCGTCCTCGCCCGCCCCCTTCCTCAAGTGGGCCTGTGCTGCTGCTGTGGAGCTGTGGTATTGCGTCGCACCGCCAGGAAGGAAGGAAGTGTGCGGAGGAGGCCGTGTCTGCTGGCAGCGAGGTGGTGTTCTGAGAAAATGGTGGTGTATCTTCTGTCTAGACCGCTGCCGAGGCGTGTGGAACGCTTGTTTCTCAGATGAAATCATGACTTGTGTGCTTACTGCAGTGCAGCTATGAAAAAGCCTGGCACCCCCCACCTGCTTGGTGTCACCAGAGCTTTTCTACACGCCTTGTTTTTGAGTACAAAACATCCCCTGAGAATAGGAGAATCCAGATCGTATTTTGGGTTTTCTTCAGATTTGTGAGGGAGAGCTGTGGAGGCTTCGCACGTTTCAGCCATCATGTGCAACATGGTGAGCAAGGTTTCACTGCGGTGCTGTCAGGAGTTCTGCAGCTCTGGGTAGTGCTGTGCTGTCCCTTTTAGTTCTGGAAACAAACAAAAGTCCTGTGAATTCCAGAAGCAATGTGAAATTTTTATTTTTTATTTTATTTTAATCTGAGGGAAGCACGAGACCATGGAGCGACTCGCAGTTGTTAAGAGCATAGTGCTACCATGAGGTGCTTCTATTGAGAGGATCCTAGACTCTCAAAGTTCTCACATTTCATTTCTGAAGAACAGACGAATTTCTTAGAGTCAGATGTGAAGTTTTCCTCCTAAACCTAATGCTTTAAATTACAACTGGTATCAGCTGTATAGTGTCCCTTTGTTCTTCTGGAAAACCATCGTGCTCCTCAACAAGAGCCTCATACTGCGCTGGTAAGCAAGGCCCAGTGGAATTCAATTTATTGCCTCATAAGATGCAAAGCCACCTTGAAACGAGAAAGTTCTACAACCACAGTTAGATTTAAAGGAGGCAGTTTTGATAGCATTATAGTAAGAAAGGTGATGCATTTGATCTGGCACAGCGTTTTTAACAAAGGAACTTCTAGATTCTGGCTCTTTTGAGTGTTGAGTTGCCGCATTGAATTAAGTTCAACAGGCAAACTGGTTAGCAGTCGTTCTGCCAGATTGTGCATACAAGACAAAACGAAGATGGTATTGAGAATCCTTTGCTCCACAGTTTTTGAAGTATTTGATGGCCTCAGTAGATTTCTGGGGACTTCTGAATTGTTACCCTGTACACCTTCCCTAACTCATATCAACTTTGCTGCAGTCTCCTGATAGTCGTGCATTCTGTAGTCAGTAAGCATATCATCCATCTCTGTAAAAGTATTTTCAATTAGCTAAAGAACATAAACAATGCTGTGGGGGGAAAAAGAAATCTTTGGGAGCTTAAATAAAGCACTCTGCTGACATTACTTGTTAATACAGTATAATAGGACTTCACTGTACAGGAAGGCAGGAGTACTTCATCCTTTTTATTTCTCAGGTAATTAGGATGCTGTAATTCATGCATGATGTCTCAGAAAGCTTTACTGTGGATCAGTGTGAACGACGGCAGTCGCATGAACAGTAGTGATAAGCAGTGTTACTCTTTAGCTGTTATGTAGCTTTAACATCTTTGTAGGATTGAAATGTAACCTATCGGGGTTCTTATACCCAATTTTAAACTGGTAGTAAGTTAAAACTTACTACAGTTTTCTCAACAAAGTATATAAATGTGTACTAAAAATAGGAATGAATACTGTTAGCAGAACAGTCCCCTAATGATCTGAAGGTTAAAAATTGTATTTTGCAAGAAAATATTTTTGGACCTTTTCAGAAAAACTTTCTTGAAAGTGAAAGTCGTTCCGTTCTTGGTTTTAGTAACCTTTATTTAATTGTTCATCTCAGATTTTTTGCTATTTTGAATTTAAGTCCTAGTCTCAATTTGCATTTCTCAGGAGGCAGAGAATGTGCTTTCTTCTCCTATAGTTTATACCCATATTTAATCACTATTATCCTTTAATTGTAGTTCTTATTAAATTTATTGGGTTTTAAGTTATTTTTCTGTATAAGAGTAGTTATTCTGGATGTGGTGGTTTCAGTGTACCTGAGCAAATTGAAGCATGATTTGAGCCATACGTAATTTATTGCAGTTCTCAAATCCCACTAAGAAATTTTTCCAGCCATCTAATAATTACTTTAGAGCTTTAGGATATACTGTTTCTTATTTTTTTTTTGTTGTGTTTTAAAATATGGACAACTAGAATGTGTTCAAATGTTGGTTAGGTCTGTACTGTATAGATCTACAATCCTTTTGTAAGTTTACACTGTTCATACAGAGATTATGCCTGCTCTTTTTGCTTCAGTTTACAATATACAACGCAATATCCCTGATTAATTAGATGTTAAATATTAGTTTGAATGTGATGTATACATTACAGCAGTTCACTGGTAATAAATCTCTCTTTTTTTGCTGTAATTGCAACAAACCTGGAAGCTCACATTGAAGTCTGATGTTATTAACCTGATATCTTTTAGGATGTAATTCTGAATCTGAAATGCTGTGGATCAACAAAAACTTTGTTATTTTTATTTACCTTGTATAAAATTTGAGTAAATAAAATTCTATTCAGAAAAAAAAAATTTAACAGAAATAGGCTTTGTTGTGTGAAACATAAATTTGAGTTGTAACCACCAGAGGGAGCATATTGTATAGTCAAGACTCCCTTAAAAGTGCCTGCTTGTGACTGACAGATTAATTTACATTCCCCATTATTTTCTCATTGGAAAGAGTGCAACTGGGAATTAATGATCAGTGTTAAATATTGAGTATCAGAAAACCTGTGTATTCACTTTAGTTTGTCAGTATTTTTATGTCATAATATAAAAATGTGAGCAGTTAGTTAATCAGTTAAAATGGGGGGAGGAGGAGGAGAAGTGGGATTTCCTTGTAATTTTAAAATGTTGAAAGCTTTTCCTGATTTGTTTTTCATAGCCTACTGAAGATGCTGGTAGACCACAAATAGAAGAACCTGTAAATCAGGACCTACAGGAAGGTAGCACAAGAAAAAATACTTATTTACATACTTCCTGCTATTGTGCAGCAAAACTTGAGCAGTCAGTTAGAAGCCTATTAGCTTTCATTTTTATGTGCTTACATTGAATAGTCCTATTGAACTCAATGGCAATTCCCATGGTTGAAGCTAGAGGTTCCTACATTTGATTTCCTTGTATTCACCTAACAGCAGTGACACCAGCTCCAAATGGTAGGTGAGGTCTTGTGTGCCCTCCAAACCTCTATACTTTCACACCCTTGAATGAGAAATCCATGCTGCTTCTTCCCATCCCCATCACTTCATCCTCTCTATTTTGCACCTATCTAAACAGTGCACTGACTGAAGAATGCAGAAGAGACACAAGACCTGTTTTGCTATGTACAAAATGAAGCTGCCATGATGCACAATGAACAGAAATGGCTTGTGGAGAAACCTAATATATGGGTTAAGTTCATCTCTTTGTACAAGTAAGATTATAAACTTTAAAGATGTGGCAATTTGATGCAATTTGTATATGACGTGGAACTGTTGCAGACAGGCTAAAAGGGATTTATTTCTGTAGCCTGGCTTCTAGCAGTCCTGAGTATGTGAGTATGGAGGCCAGTTATCCTAATGTTGATGCTTATGATATAAAACCGAATTGTGTTTCAGGAATGCGTTGATTTAATGCATGCAATTTTATTTTTTTTTTTTTAAAAAGGGTATTTCTTAATGTATTTTTGTTACAAGATTTATTGAGTTATAATGCTGACCAGAAGGGTCTGGGAAAGCTTTAATGGAGGAATAGTATTTAACTAAGTATTTAAATACACTGTACATACTTGCACTGTCAAAGCACAGAACAAAATACTGACTTAAATTGAGCTACATCCATTTTATCTCAGTTCACTTAGCATTGGCTCACTAAGCATGATACGTTCCAGGGTGTGTATTGTTGTGCTTCGTTAGTCTTGTTTCAGTGTGAAATGATCTGAAAAGTATAATCTCATTATCTGCAGTTAATTGTTGATCATTAGCTTGTACTTAAGTCTTGTCAAGCTTGAATTTCAAGATTTAAGCTGGAGATACTTCTCCTATATTGGCATTTCTAATTAGAAAAGCAATATTTGTTAGACATCTCAAAGTTGTTAACCTGTAATTCAGCACTGAGCCTGCTGAAGTTTAAGAAGCATTTTGGCAACATTCTAAGAAACACGATTTGAATTTTGGGTGGTCTTGTGTACAGCCAGGAGGTTATGGGGTTGCTGGTTTGGTGGGGGGGGGGGGGGGGGGATTGGTTGTTTTTTTTTGTTGTTGTTGTTTTGTTTTTTCCCAGCTGATGTACCCATTTTACTGTATAAGACAAATTGTTCTCCTGTTAACTGGAGTGTTAACTGTTATTGTACATGAGGTGCATTTAGAGTGAGGTTTCTGTACATCACTGTACACTTAGTGATATTGCCCTTGACTATAAAATCTTGGGAGTTAAGGTTTCCTTAGGACATAAATTTTTTTGTTTTATTGAGATCGGAGGGGAAACGTGTATTTAAGAATATTATTGTATATGTAACTTTCTGGGAGGAAAAAAGGGTGTATAGGTACCATCGTCAGTAGCTGATGAAAGCTAGACGACTGTGTGTCCTGGTTCTGCTGAAGTGCAGTGCATGTGACCTCATGTTAGATTTTAGCTAATCCAAGTGCGTGTTTCACACATGAATCAGTCTTCACAACTTCTCTGCTTTCAGAGCAAATCAAGGATTACAGTGCCCCCTACAGCAGCTCTGCGGTTTTTGTTTTTTCTTTGAATCCTTTGGTCGAGCTAAATGCAGGTACTTGCCAGGTACACTACCAGTAAAAATAATAGTGGCTCAGGGAATATTTTTTATTGTTCTTTATTTTTTCAATTTTTAAGAATGATCTTCAGTTTCTAGTTGATTTTCTCCGTTGCTTCTCAGAGATTTTCATCTGTCCCTGAGCTACTTATTTCTGTCTTATTAGCACTGGTGCACTGTGATGTTGGAAATTGCTGGTTGTGGCTCTCCTGAGCAGAAACTAAATTCAGCTAGAGAAGGGTATGCTGAGAAGTCTGTGGCGACTGTGATTTCCCCTTCTTGACCACTGCTTATTGAAGCACGTGCTCCTGGACATGTGATGGGGATGCAGCTATGCAGCTCTTCCCTAGTTGATTTAAGTGGAGCAGGAAGAGAAACCCAAAACAGGAAAGACTGATTTAAATTAAGACAACACTGGCTTAAGAAGAAGTGACCATAAATAAATTGAGAGCTGATAGACTTGAATTCTATGAGCTTTAAGTCTTGGAAGACCAAGGGTTCAGAACAGTATAATGAAAGGAATTGTGTCGCATATTTGTGTATGATAAGTTTTTGGACTTAACCTGAATATCTCCTCCAGTCTCATGCCTTTAATGAAGCTTCAGTCTATGAGGAAGTTCTCTCAAAATTTTAATGAAAGATTTAATTCCAAATAGTTTTCCTTGACTTGTAGAGTTCTTTAGAAGTCTGTGATATGTCTCTGTTTTTATTCCTAAGGGTTTTTGCAGAGACTTGGATTGTGGAGATGGTTGATCTTTTTCTTAAAAAAAAAAAATGGGTTGGAGTGGAAGTGGTAGAGATGTCCAAGTCCATGACTTGGAAGTTTTCAGGAAGTTTGGGAGAATTGAACGTTTCTCCTTCACTATTTCTTGAAAGCATCCTCCTTCAGGAAAATGTTTAGGCATATGCTTGTCAGCTGCTCACGTGTTATAGGTGAGGTGCCTATGAGGTAGAGAAGTGTAAATTTTGTTTGAAAACTGTAGTTACTATGACCAATTAAAATCAAGAGTATGCATGGCTTTGCTTTTGGGTGAGGAAAGGAGATGACCTTTCAAATCTTGACCATCCAAATACATTTAGAAAAAAATTTACATGGCTTTTTCTCTTACGTCAGCCGATTTGGACTTAGATGTTCCTTTCTTTTTCTTAATGAAAAGGAGAAACCTCTATTCTTTGATGTCACACAGAATTATGCATGCTTCATGCTAGGCAGCTGATGAAGGGAGCATTTTCTTGTCACACCTGTTTCTCAGCCAGTAAATTCTCCTTGATGCAGGTGGTAATGAATCATATATTTTTCAGTTTTATCAGGATTCTCATCAGTTAGGATTTCACGTTCAGAACTGTGGGAAACTTCAGTGTGATGACTTAAGGTTTCTGGTGCTTTCTAGTTAATTTTTTTTTATAAGAGTAAATCAGACTCTGAGATGTTCTGGACTCAGATCCAATGCAGCATGCAGTTTACAGGATACAGGCTGGAATTCTGATGTGGGTCTTATGCTGTATATCCCATATGGTTCATTAATTGAGTTTCAAATACCTACCTGGGACAGTAGATACCTGGTAATCTGGTGAAAATATAGGAATAAAGCAAAATGATTTTTGCAGGAAACATCTTCATTCACAATACTCATCAGAAAAGGCCAGTTAGATTTTTGTGCTGTAGAAAAAAATACATATTTTTGAAAAATAAAGAGGGCTACAGGAACAAAGGAAGCATTACAAGCATTACTGTACCCTTTTATATATAAAATTTTGTTCCATTAAAAGATTCGTGTTCAGATTAGCCACAAGGTTGGCCTTAGCTTATGCTATTGGGCTAGTCAGAAAGATATACAAATTCGTTCAAGGTTTTTGGTAAAGGCTCTAAAAGTTAATTGAAAAAAAGCATTTTGAAATGGGGATGATCTGTGAAATACTGTAGCCTTGGTCTTGCATTCTTTCACAGTATGTGGGATTCAGGGAATAAACCGTTCCAAAGTACTTTTGTCTTAAAACAGCTGCAAGAACATTTTAAATTTGTTGCTGAAGAAGAGATTAAAAATTGTAAATGCTTCCAGCTGCTGTGATTTAGGAGCACTATTGTTAAACTTCTGGTATTTTCAACATGCATACCTGTGTTTGTAGGAATACTTCAACATACACAGGACAAAATGTACTAATGTTATTCTCCTGCTTTTTTTTAAGTGACTAAAACAACAGGGCTTATGCCCTGACTGTTTAGGATGAGTATCTTCATTATTAATGCAGTTCAAAGTAAATTGATTTCTCTTAATTGAAACAGATATTTGTAATACCATGTTTTGGACAGCATTGTTATTGACATCTTAAAGTATTGCTTTGATCTCAGGAAAATTTTTTTTTTCCATGTTTTACTATTCATAATTTATTTTTTCCTAGATCACAAAATAGTGTTTTCTTTAGTGGTGCTGCACGTCTTTATTTTCTGATCCTGGTTGAGGTTATCAGTCCTCTTTTTGGTCTTTAGAATGCATTTGAAATTAAACATAGAATAGAGAGGAAAAATGCTGAAGACCTGGGCTTCAAGATAATCCTGCCAGAGGCCTCTGATTCTTATTGGCAAAGATAAAGCTAGCATGAAGTGATAGTAAAGAGGGGAAAATTTCTGTAAAATGCTCTGGAGAGTTTCAGTCAGCATTGTTTTTTAATATAAATTCTGTTTATGTTCATCTACAATACTTCCCCTCTCTCCTTTTTTTACTTCTGTAAACTGATGGCTTCATTTGCATTTGTTTGTTAGGTGTTGGTTTTGGTGTTTTTTTTTCTCAGCATGAAAGCCAATGACAGAAGGAGTCACAAATGATAGAGGTAGATTCTGTTGTGACATGGAGACTGAGTTCAGCCAACTTAAAATACAGGTTATAATACAGTGGTGGGACAATGCTGCCCTTTGATTTTATAATTTCAATTCTTGAGATTTGTGAGAAAGTAGACCAGTAATTAATGTCACAGGTGTATGCCTGATAGTTACTGAAAATCAGCACCTGTCAAATCTGAATAGCCTAGCTCTGAGACTCAGCTAGTGCCCTAAACTTAAGCATCTGTTATCTGTTGTATTTAAACTGTGAAAGAGATGGGGGTGGATGGTATTAACAGTGCTTTCTAGGAGGTTAGAAGACTTTTCTCATACTTTCTTTTTTTCTGTGGTTCACATTATGTATTTCATGAGATGCTGTGGGACTTCATGCTGAGCTGTCATTATTTTTAATGAAAGATGAAATTCTGAGACAGAGCAAGAGTCAACAAAAGCAATGGCACTCCATTTCTGGTTTGGGAAAATCTGGGCTCTTCAGTGTTCAGCTTTTTAAGTTACAATTAGGAATTTGCTTAAGCAAATCTGAAATTGTGGTGGATATTTCTGGTGTTGAAAATATAGTTTGGCTGCCTTTAGTAAGCCATCAGATATGAACTTCTGTCTTTATTTTAATTAAGGAAAAGCTATAGCTCTTGGTTTGTCATTTTAAGACTAGATATGATGGAATATTTATCATCTCCCTAGAAGAGTTCTACTGATTAGTTACAATGTTTTGTTTCTACCATTTATGTCCAGTTCATCAAGTTTCAGCTTCCTGGAATTGTCTTTTGTTATGCCTGTATCTGCTTGTTTAGGACCCTATGTTAGATATGCTCATTTTGAGAATTTTGTTAGCAACACTTTCTGTTTATAATGTTAAATTGAGTTTCTTGACTCAGTCTTCAGAATCTAAGATTTATTATAAATTTTTATCAAAACTTTTTGAAGCTTTTCCATTCCTTAAATTCATAGATAAGATTTTTTTTAATACATTAAATATTTTCATTGTATTTTGTCTTTATGCCAAGATTAGTGCTGACTTTCTTGGTTCCT